ACATTATTAAAGAGAAAGATAAGAAACTTATCCGTCCAAAAAATAAGTGTGTAAATTAACTCACACAAACAGCTACAATATAATCACCCATTAGAACATCTTTACAAAAATTTTCTTTTTAAACAGAGAAAAAGATGTTTGATACACAGGAAAAACAATGTTTGAAAGATATTGTTACATGGGGAAAAGTCAAAATGGTAAGCAGTCAGCCTAATTCTCAGCCACGAAACCACATGATAGTACAAATTTTACACTATTTTATGACAGCTAATTTTCTTTCCACCATTATACTCAGTTTCAGGGCCTGTGCTGACTTCAACATATACCATTCTAATAGCAATCTAAGACCCTAAATAAGCAAGTAGATACTAAGACAGGAAAACAGAGCAGAAGGCCTCAATTTCTGCTCTCAAAATCTACTACACAACCACATCATCAAAACAGTGAGATGCTGGTACAATTACAAGCATGCAAACTAATGGAATAAAAACGAGAACTTGTTGACTGGAAACCCTAAGTCTCTGTAAACTTTCATTAAAATTAACTAAAAAAAAAAAAGAGAGAGAGAGAACTTAAAAATAAATTCACCTACCTATGCAGATGACACAACCCTGCTTGCTAAAACTGAGGAGGACCTGAAGCACTTGCTGCAGAAGGTTAAGGACTGCAGCCTTCAATATGGATTGAAGCTCAACAAGAGAACAAAGCTTCTCACCACTGGGTCTACTGGCAACATCATGAAGGATGAGGAACATACTGAGACTGTTAACAGTTTCAATTTGCTCAACTCTACAGTCAACACTCTTGGTACCAGCAACCAGAAAATAAAAAGACATATTGCACTGGGAAAGTCTGCTGTCAGAGACCACTCCAAAGCAATGAAGTGCAACAATGTCAGTCTGGAGACTAAAATGGGCCATGATCCTTGCAATTACTTGCTATGTATCAGAGAGCTAGACAATGACTAGGGATGATAGAAGGAAAGTTGATGCCTTTGAGCTTTGGTGCTGGAGAAGAGTACTGAATATACCATGGACTGATAGGAGAACAAACAAGCTCGTCCTGGAGAGGGTGAAGCCAGGCTGCTGCTCGGAAGCAAGGATTCTGAAGCTCTGTCTGACATACTTTGTACATGTTGCAGGGCGGGATCAGTCCTTGGAGAGGGACATCATGCTTGGGAGGGTGGAGG